ATACTCAAAATGTTAAACTATTTCTACAGTCAAAAAATGGTTCAAAAAAAGAGAGATTGACACAAACTATTTTCAAAGAAAGAAGTGAAAATAATAAAAATACTCTCCAAAATGTTTTTTTAACTGTTTATTTGGAGAGAGAGCGTGCACATGTGAGCAGGGGAGGGGCAGGGAGCGAGGGACAGAGAGAGTCCCAAGCAGGCTCCAAGCTGTCAGTGCAGAGCCCAATGTAGGGCTCAATCCCACGAACCATGAGATCATGACCTGAGCCAAAATCAAGAGTCAGATGCTAAACCGACGGAGCCACCCAGGCGCCCCATCTGAAATATTTTTAATTCAATTTAAATAATATCCTCCTTTATTTTAGTTTGTTGCACTGTACAAAGCAATCAGTTTGTAAGTGCTTGTTGGCATAATGGATAGGTGTCACGATTAGTTAACATTTTCCTTGGGAACCAGGACTACATTCCAAATAAAACCCAAAGATGCTCTGGGTACCTGGGTGGCTCAATAGGTTAAACATCCGACTCTTGACTTCGGCTCAGGTCACGATCTCACGGTTTGTGAGTCTGAGTCCACGTCAAGCTTGCTGCTGTCAGCTCAGAGCCCACTTGGGATCCTCTGTTCCCCTCTCTGCCCCACTCATGCTCTCTCTCTCAAAAACGAATAAACATAAAAAACAAAGATGCTCATAGCTTGATACAGTGACTAGAGTTCTGGATTCTGACAGCTACACCTCCATTACAAAGAGGTCCGATGGAAAGATACTGCAGGATGGGAAAGACTCTGCATTCTCCCCACCCCACGTGGTGTCCAGTGCATGAATGTGACCCGGTACGCTCAGAGGGGGTGACTTGGTCCTCTAAGCCAGCCCTGGGGCCCTCCAAAGGCACTAGTGGATGTGTTCCCTTCCCGCCCCTTCCAACATGCCAGAAGTGCACTCCCTCCAGGCCACAAGGCAAGGTCGGTGTGCTTGTCAGAAAATAGTGCCACAATGTGAGCCCTTGTCAGACAGTGTGTTGGAGGGACCTGCTGAGAAAGGGGTTTTTCTTAGCCTATGTTTCGGACGTTTCTGCCTTGCTCCCATGGCACTGCTCCCTGGATAGACTATTCTTGTGTTCTTAGAGCAGGGGTTGCTGAACTTTTTCCATAAAGAGCCAGAGAGTGATTACTTTAGGCTTCATCAGCTTTAGGGTGTCACAACAACTAAACTCTGATTCTGTAGCGCAAAAAGTAGCCAAAGACAATAACTAAACAAATGGGCACAGTGTCATCAAAACTACAGAGAAACAGGCAACAGCCAGATCTGGCCCACCAGCCATCGTCTGCTGATTTACGCTTTAGAGTTACCTTCACCTCTTAGCAGTCAGTCCCCTTTTCCCAATTTAATAATTCTTCATGTTAATTTTTCATTTGCAACTAACTCATCGTGTTGCCTGTCTCTGGGCTGATACACACAACAGGTTTACATGTTCTTAAATGTACTTAATGATTATTTCCCACAAATTTGACTAACCTTAGACTGTTTTAAAGGTTTAATAAATAAAACCATAAAAATACTCATAGGTCAGTTTTGCCTGTTTATGATACACTTTTGTTAATCAGGTGGAGTACTGTGTTTCTCTGTCCGTCTCTTGGAAGTATGTAATGAATCAGTGTAATGTTATAGCTGTCACAATTACCTTGCTTTTGTGTGTCACTGTGTAACTTGGACTGTGTTTTCACACAGATGATCACACTTAATCCACTGTGAAATTAATTAAATAAGGTGGTCCTGTGACTGAGGTAGCTGCACCGCCCTGGTGGCCTATGGAAGCAAGCCACATTCTAAGCCTGTGAATGTCTCAAGGTTACAAAATCAAAATGCTAAAGACAACCAATCAGAGACAGCCAACTAGGCTTTAGGCTATAGCCAATCAAATAATTTCCTCTCTTTGCTTCCGCACATTTTTTCTACATGAGTCTCTCCAAGCTCCTAACAATGCCTGACTACATCTGTTTTGGTGTCACCCAATTCAAAATGATTTTTGTCCAAATTCTATAAATGTTTAATACACGTCAGTTTATCTTTTTTTTTTTTAATGTTTATTCATTTTTGAGGAACAGAATGTAGGTGGGGGAGGGGCAGAGAGAGAGGGAGACACAGAATCTGAAGCAGGCTCTAGGCTCCAAGCTGTCAGCACAGGGCCCGACACGGGGCTCGGGCCCACAGATGGCGAGATCATGACCTGAGCTGAAGCTGGACGCTTAACCAACTGAGCCACCCAGGCGCCCCAATACACTTCAGCTTATTTTTTAACGTATCTTTGTGCCACTGTAAGGTAGGCATGGAAAAGATATTCCATTTTACTTAGGTTGCAAACTGAGGATCACACGTTAATTGCCGGAAATGCGCTAGGTAACACTCAGGCTGGATTAGAACACAGTCTCTGTCACACTGAACTATTTCTTCTCCACACTGCCCTATTAGTGGTCTGTGCCCATCAATGCTCAACCACAGTAGATGTGTGGAGAGTTTCTAAGACAATGCTTTTCTTAAAGAATGATGATACAGGTAACAGGAAAGCCCACGGGGTTGATTTCAACAATAAGGGAAATGTCGTGGAGGAAGGACATGTCTTCTCTGGTCTCAAGGACTGTGAAGATGTGAAACACGTACAGACCCGTACACTGCTTTGAGATGACTCCTAGAGGCCTGACTGGGCAGCTGACTTCAGCAGCTGCAGGGAGCTCTTTCCAGGACAGAACCACTGACCCCAAGGAAAAGGGGTCAACTGAGAGTGACTCATTTGTTACCTTAGAACGGGGCAGAAGCTCTTGCTTCAAATACAAACAATTGGCACCATGCCTCCCTTCTACACGCGGTCCTCAGGAGGAGATAAGGGTGAGAATGGAGAATGGTGAGGGGACAGGAAAAGAGACAAAGAGGGGTTGGGGGAGGAAGAAACAAAAGGTGAGGCAGGCAGGAGGCACAGAGTGGAGAAAATAAAGGAGAAGGATAAAGAGAGAAGCAGAAGAAGATACAAACAGAAAAGACAGGAGAGAGGATTGGCGACTTGTGGTGGGCCCGTGGGAAGTCACACCTCTGTGTCTACTTAGAGCATAACTGACTATTTTCTACTCTTCTTTAAACTGATGATTCAGTGCTTACAGCTGTTCACTGTTCTTTAGCTCCACTAAGCTTTTCCAAGTGGTCACATGAGTGGGGGACAGCCCACTAGGGTAGGAAACTGACTGGGCTGCAGCATGACTGGTCACAGGAGCGTCACACTGACAGCAAAATGAAATTAACCAATTACCAGACTGCCACTACCCCACTCCCGGGTTAGCAGAAAGAGGCTTCATGTAGACCTGGCACATACACAGCCCTGGCTTCAAAGCCGTCAACACACTCTAAGTTTAATCCTTCCCCCAGTGACATAGCTACAAGAGCCAAGTTGTTGATTTTCCACTGTCAAAAAGCAAGATCCTGGGCCCAGATTACCTGAATCAACCAATGGTCATGGATGGCGCAAAGACCCGAACTCCTTAACCGACAACGCAGCTCTCCTATCGAGGCAGCAGTGCGGGGTCCGGCCGGGTCTCTAACCCCCAGGCCCAGGACAGACGCGATGTGGCTCTGCTTCTGACACAAGACTGCTCCTGTCACTAGCTCGCACCTTTGCACCTGTCATAGGCCTACAGCCCTGCAGGCTGCGGTCGACAAATGTTCTATTCTAGCAGAATCCTTCCTCTAAAAAAACAAATCTCACCTAGGCAAATTCACCAAAGGAGTGAAAGCACAGTAGCTCTAGCCCCAGGGCACTTGGTACCTGGCCCTGTACCTGGAGCTCACCTCTCTCAACCTATCAAAGGTAGCCTTGCCCTGCTCAGACAGCAGCATGCCTACTGAGTAGCAGTCCTAGAGTGTGGTTCATTCAGCCTGGGACTGAAATAACCTATGAACAGCTTACCTCCTTGACTATTAGTGCCTTGGGACAGCTGGGTCTCCTTACCTCTGCACCCTTTAGCATCTAGCCCAGCACCCAGAGACATACAGACGGACTGTGCGCTAACAAAGCTTAGCGCCCCTCGCTTGCACGGACCCCTCTTCAGGCCCCATAGCTGTGTAAAGTTCAGTTGTCACCCGGCATCTTGGCTTACTAGGAAAACCCACAGGACCCTGCCCACTGTGTAGGTCCACCCAATGTCATGATTCATGACACACAGGTGCAGCAGGAGGGGCCGCGTTGCAATATAGGTATATCTCAAGGAGTTTGGCCCCAGAACTACTTGGAAGATAATCTGAGGTTAGTCGTCAAGAATACCCCCATATTATTCAGCTCACATATGAAAAAAAAACAAACAGAGGGGTTTTTTTTTCAATCCTAAAAATTTATATGACATTGCCAAAGGTTGGAAAGCTAGAAGAAACATCCCTAAACTATAATTAGTTAAACACAAATGTTGACTAATGCTATAGGAAAGACTAAATGATCTATCTGTGCAATACAGAGTGATAAAACCAAACCATGAACATATGAAGAGGTGATAACAGCATGAAACCAAAAAAACATAGGGAAGAAAGTATTACTGAGGAGATTTGTTGATAAAAAGGTATCGTTCTCCTGTATTTCTTGTGTTTATCATTTCAGTTAGCTTTTTGAAATTTGTAATTTGTAATTACTTTTCACATTCTTAAGGAATATTAACTTCCAGGCCTCATTTTGTATTTATAATTTTGAATTCTTTGTTTAGACAAGGCCCCCATATTCTTTTTTTTTTATTTTTTTAATGTTTATTTATTTATTTTGAGAGAAAGAGAGAGGGAGGGAGCGAGCAAGCCAGGGAGGCGCAGAAAGAGAGAGGGAGAGAGAAATCCCAAGCAGGCACCACACTGTCAGCACAGAGCCTGACGCGGGGCTCGAACCCACGAACCATGAGATTATGACCTGAGCTGAAACCAGGAGTCCGACGCTCAACTGACGGAGGCACCCAGGAGCCCCAAGGCCCTCCATATTCTAAGCTTCATTACTCACAAAACTTGGATCTGCTCTGATAGGGCCAAAGATAGCACACAGATGTGGATCAAATCGAAGAAAGTACCACACAGTGGTTAGAAAGCTGAGCTGTGTGGTTGTGTGGGGCCATTATCGGACTCCACTGAGTGCATGCATGTGAAATGATTGAAAGAGCCTGGCAAACTGTAAGCACACGATAAACGTAGCTGTTGTTAGTACTGCCATTATCATCAACTTCATTATTATTAAATGTGTTGCTTACATGACAGTGATAAAAAAAAAAAAAAAAAGGACAGTGGTGAATGTTCCACGTACATTCAGTTTTACCAATCTGTTTACAAAAACTTTCCTGTCCTCTCCAAGAACATATGAAATAAAACAGACAACAATGGCAGGGACATTCACAAAGAAAGAAAAACAAAAGGCCCAACAGAGGAAACTGTATAATAATAGAGATGACACTGGAATTCAGGGACTGGGCCCAAAATAAACATAAATAGATGCTTACATTAAAAACTGAACTGAGTATTGATGAAGTCTGTGTCAGGCAGGACCGAGAAGAACAACAGTTGGGGGGGTCAGAGTGTATACAGGAGCAATTCAGACCCACTGCCACCAGGGCAGCCCCACAAGAACAGTGGGACTGAAGGTCCCAGAGGAGGCGAGAGGGGCAGGCAGTTATGTGGCACTTCAGGGGAGAAAAATGGAGGCCGGCCCTACTGGGGAGTCTGGGAGGCCCAGGGCCCACAGACATTTTCATAACATGAATCAAAACCTTGGCTTCCTTGCCAAAAAACCCTTCATATATCTTGGCTTCCTTGCAGGAGATCTGCAGGCAAGACCTGAGGTCAGGGCCATGCGAGCAGGACGGTGGGAAGAATGGGCTGCACCATAAGGAACAACCTGGGCACAGGTTAGCCCCTGACACCAAGGCCCCATCAGTCCCCTCTACTGGTTGAAGCTGGGACAGCATGATGAACCCCCCAGTGATCACAGGGCTGTGATCACCCCCCTGTGGCTGTCACAGGTGCCAAAAGGCATGACCCTCAGCGCCCTCCCCATAAACCTCCCCTTCAAGGCTCTCCCACCTCACTCCTTCCTCCTCTAGCATTTGTTGCCATGGGTCTGGCTGCCCAATATCCATGCAAATTGAAATTCCAGATCTGCAGGCAAACAGAAGCTAGGGAATCTTCCCAGTGCCAGGAAAATGAGATTCCTCTGGAATCCACATAACTGGAGAGCATAGGCCTACAAATGAGTTCAGTTTTAGCCAAACATGTATGAAGCCTCGAAAACCATGGGAAGAGCTAAGCAGGAAGGCTTACTGATTTCATTGCTTTCTCTCTGCCATGACAGCTTCCTGCAAACTTTCTAGTCATTTCTTGACTTTGAGTCTCTGGTAATTAAATGTTAACACAGGCTGAAACCCCGAATACCACTTCTTGAAATAGCAAACTAAGGAAACAACTCTTGGAGCAACTCTTGGAGCATTCTATTTTAAGAAATGAGAAATTCATTGTTTCTGCTTATAAAGAATTTAAAACTTCCTTGATTTATCTGCATGGCTATAAAAGCTGCTTGATAGGCTGAGATAAAAATTCTTCACGGAACTTTTAGTCCATTTTCAAAATGGTGCACTTCTCAACATTGCCAATAGGCCCCCGGCACTGTTGCTGGGGGGTGGGGGGAAGGGGGGAGGACAGTGCAGCTTGCAATAAAACAGAAGGGGCTTCTGAAGCCAGAAGTTAACCAGTGTGGCCCAGCGAGACCTCTTGCACTCCTGTCCTGCACACGACTCTCACTACATACCTATCCTGCCAGGAACTGCACAAAGTGGTTAAATTTGAAGGAAGAATCCTCATTATCCTATAATTAGGGGTGGGCACAGGAAATTAGCAGCTGCCTCCCTTCCTCCCATGCAAATATTGTTAGCGGTTATATGTTCCTTCTCTCCACAGACTTATACTGAGCCTGTCCAGATGCACTGTGCCCGGGTCTTCAGGACACCAAGATAGCGGGCACGTGGCCCCCACCCCAGAGAGCTCACAGTCCAGATGGGGAGACAGACATGTGAACGACGGGAGCAGAATGACGGACAGCAATGGGAACCTAGGAAAGGCGTCTGACCCCCTAGAATGAACCTGCTCCCCCCTAGTTACAGTATAAGCTCCACAGAGGCAAAGATTTCCATTTTATTTACTGCCCTCCCCAACGCCTAGAACAGGACCTGGCATGGGGTAGGCACCCAATAAACACGTGTTGGTTGAGTGAAGGAACCTGACAATGTGGGGTGCTTCTTAGAGGAGGCTATTAGAGTCAAGTCTAGGAGAAGAACAAGTCAGCCAGGATTCAGGGTGGACTGGGGATTCCTTGGAGAGAAAATGAAGACACCAATGCTCCCGAATAGAACCACATTTTGTGGGGCCTGAAATTTGCATATTTGGGGGAGGAAGGGGTTGAAAAAAATACAAAATTATGAATATAAAGTTGCAGGAGGCCCTCCCAGGGCCTTGGAAGGGATCTTGAAACTGAAGCTTTCTTAGCTGCAGGATAAATCCTCCTCTGAACATGGTGAGTTCTGGAAGCAGCAAGCAATTCAGGATACCTGGGGCAGAGGTGCACAAAGGGGCAGGGTGGCAGGTCGAGGGCCTGGGGCACCAGTCCCTAGGGGTGCTACACCATCACTGGAAATCCTACATTTATGAGAACTCCTTTCTGAAAGGGTACTCTGTGTGGCTGCCCAGAGCACACGAATAAGGTACCCAGAAGTGAGCACTGGGACTCTGCAACGGACGAGGCTGAGAAACCTTGGATGCTTAACTGTAGAAGCCTGGTTTCTCTGACTAGGTGGCCAATGCTGGAGTCACAGCGGAACAGCCCTGCGCAGCAGTCCCTGCCCCACATCTGCCCCGAGCGGCCCTCAGTCTCCCTAAAAGAGTACACAATTTGAATAGCGTCTGTTTGAGGCCAAACCAGTGATTGGCTCGCCTGGGGTGCCCACATGTCCCTGAACTGCAGCCTGCACTGGAAGAGGAGGCCACAGTGGCAGGTGGGCCACAAGCAGAAGGGCCCTAAGAAAGGAAACTGGTGCACGAGGAAGGGGGCTGAGCGGGCACAGCACTAGGTCCCCTACCATCCTCCAGCCCTGGAAAGCGACCTCCCATTGTGTTGTCATAGACATGCTCTTCCTTCCCTCAACCCAGGACATATAAGCTTAGAGGAGATCATGACAATCCAAATATCATCACATTCCCCTTCAGTAATACATGTTCATCAGTGTGTGTAGGAACAATGGTCTCAGCAGCGGCTTAGAAGCACAAGCTTGTTTAAAAGGAGCAGGAGGTTCGGTAACATTGGAACCACAATGTGCAAACATCAGAACCTGAGAATATCTGGTCTAGCCCTCTTGTCTTACAGATAGGGACACCCGGAAGCATGGGGGTTCCATGACTGTCCTGGGGCCCAGGAGGAGTTACTGGTGAGGCCGGGTCTGGATCCCAGGTCCTGATCCCTGGTCCATGCTTTTCCCCTCGGCCTCTTCATTCTGATTTTTTGCACTTTCACTAACATGCACAAGCACACGATATAAAAAACTGGAGGAGAAAGAGAACCTTATCTAAGCTCGGACTGAGAACCAAGCTCAAACCTGAGCATTCCCACACAGTTAATTAACTGGCAAATGTTTAGAAGAATGCATCACGGACACCAAAGTCGCAGACATCTAAATATATTTCTCACGCTTAAGTGTGGTGTAATCCTGAGAGCAGAATTACAGCAAGAATGACACACTTGTGAATACAGTTTTTTTATATTATAAACACTGATAAGATGTTGAGTTCCCTTTTCACACGGCACTAAAAAAAGCACTCAAATGACAGACATTGTCGCTGAATGAAGATTTCATTTAATTAGGCATGTCAGCATTAGCAAAACTTGGACACTCAACATCAGTCTGATGTCTGGCTTTTGTATTTGTCAGGTTTATAAATAACTGTGGTTTTCCAAAAATTATTATCCTATTACTAAAATAAACAGAATTAAAAGACTCAGTGCAAACTGTCAAATCAGTAACATCTAGAAAATGGGATAAGAGAAACATAATGATGAAAATTGAGGTAATAAAGATAATAGCAATTAATGAAGACCCACAGAGCTGCCTGCACTCAGTCAGCTGTGCTCAGTGGGGGTGTGTGGAGAATGCTAATGAAGGATGGGCCAAACAGGGATGGCGGGGACTCCTCTGCTCAGTGCCCACCAGGCACCCAAGAGGAGAGCAAGTGGCATTGGGATCTCATCCTTGCAAAGACAGTACCTAGGGCTTTCTACCCTGACGTGGGTCATGGGCTAAGAGAGGCAGAGAAGATTCTACCCTGACATGGGGCATGGGCTAAGCGTGGCAGAGAAGAGTGTACAGAGAAGAGAGACTGATAGCCGGCGGGGGGAGCTCAGCATGTGTCTCTCACGCACACATCCGTCTCAGCCGGCAAATTCTGCCTGCCATTTTTGCACAAGTTAAAAGCAATAACGAAAGCAAAAAAAGAAAAAGAGGCACCAGGGTAATTGTATAAATAATTCTATGGGAAACCTGAACTACAGAGTCTCTTCCGGCCAATAATTTCCCTCCTTTCTAGCATTTTGCTTGAAATTCTTAATACTTGCTTATGTCAACAAAAGCTGTTTTTGGAACTCTGAAATGAGCAGGTCAAGTAAGTAAGCTAAAAGGCTCTAAAGGTCCAATACAGTCAGATTTCAAAACAACTTTAAGCTACTTATTTGACGATACTGGGAGCAAGGGATGGAACATCCATAACACGTATTTGGTTCTCAGAAGAGTTTCTGTAGACCTCATCACCAGAAAGGCTGTTCAGAGACCTGCTAAAGGCAGGTGTGGAGAGTTAGGATCCATTGGTGGAGGGAGTGCCAGGCAGAAGGGAGTGCATTCTAGCAGTCCAATGGTTCTCAAGGTGAGTCCCAGACCAGCGGCTTCAGCAATATCTGGAACTCATTTGAAATGCAAATTCACCCCAAACTTCCTGAACCAGAAATTTTGGGGGTAGAGCCCAGCAATCTGGGTTTTAACAAAGCCCCCAGGTGATTCTAATGCTCATCCTAGTTTGAGAAACCCTTTACTAGTTTGCTTTTGTGTATGTTTGAGAATTTCACATTAAAAAGTGTTTTCAGGACACCTGGGTGGCTCAGTGGGTTAAGTGACTCTTGATTTCAGCTCAGATCATGACCTAATGGTTTGTAAGATGAAGCCCCATGTTGGGCTCTGTGCTGACAGATTGGGGCCTCCTTGGGATTCTCTCTCTCCCTCTCTCTCTCTCTCTGCCTCTCCCCTGCTTGTGCACATGCATGCACGCACACACACACATTCTCCTTCTCTCTCTCTCAAAATAAATAAATAAACATCAAACAAAAAAGTATTTTCAAGAAACCCTAGCTCCACTGCTTACTGGCTATGTGGCCTTGGGGCAAGTTACTAAATCTCCCTATCTACAATGGAAAATGGGAAAAGTAACAAGTTCTCTACCATCATCACAGGGTTACTAAAGGGTTTCAATACATAGCGCCTCTTCAGAGCATGAATGAAATGGTGGTCGTGGGGAATCATACAAAGTTGTGTCATTCACACACAAGAGGATTTTAGTGGCTGCAACATATGTGTGTCCTTATCTCACTAAACCTCCTCCCAAATTGTATGTATCATCACCACTTCACAGATGAGGAAACTGCAGCTCAGAGGGGTTACATCAACTACTGAAGGTCACACAGATGGTGCCCCTTGGATCTCCTGGCTCCAAGCCCAGGACCTTTCCCATGACCCACCTGCAACAAGCACGATGGAATGTCAGAGTTCTAGAACCGGAAATGCTTCCCCAGTGTCTCCACTTCCCTTTGTATGAGAACTTCATAGCACCACTCCCCCCTGTGCTGCCTCAGCCACCACACCTCCAGGGAGGCAAATGCCTGAGGCTTTCTGACCATCTCTGACATCTAGAAATGTAAACCCCATTGAACTGCCCAGGCTCCGTGATCTCACCAAGGGAGAGATACAAGACACAGAAAGAGTCCTTTCCATGAAAGATACTCATTTTCAGCCTCAAGAACATTAAAAATCACACTGCAAAATACTAAATCCTCCAGAAGAACCAGGTTTGAATGCTGGGGCATATATTAATGTCATTTATAAGCATATAAATGGTATTTATACTTTACCAATAAATAGTTCAAGGATTATCTTTATAAGGAAAGCCCAACTTTATACTTAAATAGTCATTTTTCCTCCACAGATTCATAAATATGGTACCCCATCCAATGGCTCACCCCACTCAAATGACAACTTTCTGGTTTGACGTGTATAAGTTTTGGAATATGTAAGTCTATAGACCTGCACTGTTCAATACAGCGGTCAGTAGTCACTAGCCACATGTGACCATTCTGAATTCAGAAATGCTATAGGCATAAAATTTCAAAGATTTGGAAGGAATAAAAGAATGTACAATGCCTTATATCTCTATAAAGATCAAATGCTAAACTGATAATATTTCCACAATAATGGGTTATAATTACATTGTTAAAAGTAATCACACCCACTTCTTTTTATTTTAATTTGGCTTCCAAAAAATTTTTAATTACATATGTAGCTCAAATTGTATTTCTATTAAATAGTACTACTATAGACTGTAGGAAACTTTAAGATACTGGTAATTTTTAAAACTTCAAGGCAAAACAAAGGACAAACCACTTTTTAAAACTGTTACTTTGTGGGGGGAGTGGGGAAGAAGACATATTTTGGAAAAACTACCATACCGCACTAGAGACAAAACAGGTCTAGTCCTGGTTAATAAAGGAGGAGGCCTGCATTGTTCAGGGCTGCTAACAGCCTCCACCTCTCTTCCGTTTCTCCCCCAGAAAGAGGTATCTTCCTTGCCCTACATCTTACAGCGTCTCCACTACCTTTTCCACATAAAGTCAATTTACTAGATGCCGGTAAAAAGGTCACACAATGAGTTTTTTCCAAAGAGAAAGGGGTTTGACTTTGTTCACCTAAGTTTGCCCTTCTGTCCTCAAGTAAGTACTCACATAAAATGTTAGCTAACAGTTTAGATTAATAATAACAGAAGAACTGGAGTGTTGCAGGGAATAGTACCCGCATCATATTTAGTCGAGCATGTTCCTCTAGATGCGTCCCTTTTTACTTTTGGAAATTCATTCAACTCATTTGGATACTGGGGGCTAAACCTTTGAGGGGGTTGGGGGCTGGGAGACTGAAGAAGAATCCCCAGATCCAGTCTCTCCTGGAGGGCCCTTTCCGCAACCCATTCTTTGCTACTACATTCCCCAAAGAATGACCAGGACGGTGCCAAAAAAAGAAAAAAGGAGGGGGTGGGGGCGTTATTGATACTATGTCAGAGATGGAATATAAAGAAAGTAAAACCACTCACGGTTGCCACCGGGGCATAGAATCCCCCCTCCCCCCCATGTGAGGGAGGCTGGAGTATAAGCCTGAGCTACAGTACAGCAAAGCCGTATAATAACTAAACATGCCAGAAAAACAAGGCCATGATGGGCCCCAGGAGCACACGGCCTGTGGGAGAAAGTGCGGAGACGGTTTCAAAAGGCTTCTTGGAGGAGCTGGCTTGGGAGTTGGGACTCGAAGGGCACACAGGAATTTTCTGGCAGTGAAGCATGCCAGGTATAAAAGCGCCCTCAATGAGAGAACACAGAGCCTCGTCAGGATGCATTTTGGAAGGTGCGGAAGAGGAGGCCAGCAAGCAAGTTCGGGGCTGGCCGCCAAGAATCAGAGAAGCCATGCTTTGCCTTCTGTGCAAAGGAAAGTTAGCAAAGGAGTTTATCTGTGTTTTGGAAAGCGCAGTCTGGCAGCATGTTGGAGCACGGCTCAGAGCAAGGGAAGACTGAACATGGTAAGCTGACCGGGGCAGTCTAGACAACCTTTGGAGATGAGCCGTCTGGAGGGCAGTCACTACTACTATCTCCATCTGATAGAAACGCAATCTTGATTTAGAAATGTCAAGTAGGTTTAAACAACACAGGACCCAGGTCTCATGACTGAGTTCAGGGCTCTTTGCACCAGTCACTTCTGCTTCTCCCTTGGTAGGGACAATTCTCCACAGCAAGGAGACCCCAAAACAGAACTGGGGCCCGGCTCCTCCCAGGGAACCTGGCAAAACCCTCAGAGATCCAATGGTAAGTGGCACATACTCGTCTGGAAAGTGAGCACTAAAAACTTCTAAAGCCTCAAAATGTTACTCTAAGAGACACTTGGGACTAGCTATATCACATTACAGAGATATTTCAGAACTGTAATTTCCAAGCTTTCTTGGTTCTAAAATTATACTCACAGTAATATGTCATCTGTAGGCCTGTCAGGCCTTTGTGAATCTCCTGCATAGTTCTGCGTGCTAACAACTCCAAATTCCACGGCCACTCTTCTTTCTTTCCATTTCACTCGTCTCACTCATTACGTTGGGTAGCAATCCAATATCCCCTGTTCTGCAGCTCCTATAACTCACAGTCCAACCGGTTTTGAATAAACTAAACGTAGAACTGGAAACTAAAACTCCAGGTCTTGGCCTGACTCTGTCACAGGTTATTCTGAGATCAAAGCTAATAACCTGGAACCCTGGAGTTTTAGCCCCAGAAGACAACTATGAGATTATCTGCTACATGTTTCTCATTCTACAGAGGAGAAAACTATGAAAGCCAGGTCTGGGGCAGGGGATGGGGAGGGAAGCGTGATGATCAGCAGGGAAAAATATGTCTCTGGCCTCCACAGTGCCTTCTGTTAGGCCACCCATGCCACCTGCTACCTGTGACTAAGTCCAGCTGCCTTGTATTTAGCCATTACCTGTCAGCACACAGGGCAAAGAGCAGCCTCCTCTAAACACTACAGGGACCATAGTGCCCATCGTACTGGTCAGGGAATAAGCATTTCAGGGTTACACGGAATCATGCTGTAAATTAATAAAAACCAAATCTCGGGAAGGAAATAAGATGTCCCCAGACTCTTAGGTATTCGACTAATTGAAATTTCTATATAACTTTCTGGGAAGGTGATAAAATGTGGCACCCAAAATAAGAGGGACTCCCAATACCAATTAATCCTATTTTGTTCATGTTTCCAGCTCCTTTGGGCACAGCCGTCCTTCTCTTCGTCTGCACCACTCAACCATTGTTGTTCTGTCACTTGTAAGTTCTTATTTCTCTAAAGATTTTTAAATTTTTTAAGGGCAAGGAGTTTTTGAACCTTTGTTTTTCATCTTTATACCAATGCTAAGCTTAAGTAAATAAGCTTAAGTAACAGTTTTGTTAATGAATTGTATGTCAGTGTCCAGGTGTGAATTTTGAAAAACCTGACTGAAAGCCAAAAACCCTGGCTCTGCCGCTTAGTAAAGACGTAGACGTAACTTTCACCAAGTTACCCAACCTCTCTGTGCTTGGTGTCCTCATTTGTAAAAAAAAAAAAAAAAAAAGCAAAAAACCCCACAATAATAGTACTTGCCTCCTAGAATTGTGAGAATTGAAATAATCTGTTTAACAGGCTTAAAACCATGCCTGGCACAGAGCAGAGC